AGTTAAATGACGAAAAATTATGTGTCTATTTACTTGTGACCACTCAGTGTATATCAAAACATTAAAAATGGACATGCAAAATATACAAGCAGTAGTTCTGCTTATGCGAAGAATCAAGTGTTCAAAATACTATACATCTAATAACTAATTAATAGCTTAACTTGTTACGTTTATAAGTACAGAATGACTGCTTACAGCTAAAGGCAGGAAACCTAATCCCACAACAAAGTTAGCACTCCAGTTGACTGCTACTGCAATGCTGGTGGCTATACTACGTGCTCCTTGTCCAAAGAGTTCACTAACCAAAAACCAAGGGATTGAACCTATTGAAAAGTAACAAAAACAGTGAGTTAATGTCAGGTTGTGTTACTAACAGAAATACTTAATGTAGAGATTGAATAAAACATTAACCCCAACCATGGGGATAATCACAAAGTAAATGTTATACTGCAAATATTACAAGACATATAACACAGAAAAAAAATCAGATTGTTTAGAATCAAAGGGAACAAATGTTTATCTAATGTATGAACTAAATTGACCATTGAAAATAATGACATCAAAGAAAGATAGTATGAAAAAGAAAATTATATTTTTCATACAATGATTATAAAATAATAATAAATAAAACCAATAGTAATTACTTTTGTAATTAAATAAAACACTTGGGATCTTGAACATTTGAAAATATATATATATATTTAATCTTGATGAATAATGGACAGCTTTTCCAAAACACTAGAGCTTATGAGTCATTCTTTGGACTTTATAATCAATTTGATACCAAGGTACTGTTTTAAGCTGATGCTACTTTATATAACTTATTAATTTTAACATAAACTGGAAATTCAGCTTCATGGTTCAATTTCTCAAAGAGCCAAGGCACTTAACCTCAAGAGCAGTTTTTATCGAAAAGAATAACTGTTTGCAAAATGTTTATCCTTGGTAGCTTTGTATATGTTAAAAATATTAAATGATGGAAACAATAATAATATAATTTTGGTAAAGTAGCTTCTAATTAAACACATTTTCACTTGTAGCTATAAATTATGTTTAATTTGGTTTTCTGTGTTACCATTTTAACTGATAAAACACAACAAGCCTTATGATGTTTTATATTTCAGTATACAGTGTTTTATCCTGTTTTCTGTCAGGAATTCACATTTGTTATAATTAAATCTACTAATTAATTGTACTTGTTTACTACAAGCACATTAAAGGTTAACACTAAGTAATTAACTTGTGATTTATAATATAGATAGTCCAATACACTAAGTAGAAATTCTAACCTGGTCCAGTAGCAAACATCACAACGAATCCTATCACACACACGATACTAAGGTATGATAGCCATGGTAGTAATGTCTGAAAAATATGATTTCAGTGTTTAGAGAACATTGTTTATAATATTAAACAAAATTCAAAAATTATCTACCAGTGATTTGAGAAAAAATATGTTAACATGCTCTAAATTTCAGAAAGTTATCTGATCACATGCATACAAGCAAAGAAAATCAGTTAGAAAAAAGTACTTTGAGTAAGAACATATATAATCCACTTTTTTATTCATAAAATACATGTTTTCTTGCTTTATTCATTTTGTTATGTTATAATCACAATATTATGAAACAAGTGTATAACTAAATCATAATTTCTAAGAATTTAGTGCAAACTCTACTGTTTATACTGTTTTCTTGAACAATATATAGTTTTTAATTTACCAAACTTTAAGTGTTGAGACTTTATGAAATGGAAGTAGCTATTATAGTACCCACCTTTAAACACATGCACAGAGTAAGTATGACAGTGATAATCCCCATGCCCCCAAGACCTATTAGATGTAGTGTACGTCGTCCTGCTCTTTCTACCAAGACCAAAGAAATAACTGTCATCAGGACATTGATAGTACCCATGCCCAATGTGGCATACAAAGCAGTTTCTTTGTTCAGTCCAGCACTTTCAAAGATTTCGGTTGAGAAGAATATGGCCTAAAATATAATGTGATATTTAACATTTATCAGTTTCTTTAAATCTCCAGTGATCAAGTTTCATAAGCTACCATAGCATTTTCATTGAAATTATAGTGAATCACTGAAAACTGTTATGGCTTAAACAAAACAAAAAAAATATTAGAGGTACAATTCACGCAAAATACATTCTTTGACAAACGTTTTCCTTGTAAATGGGAGTACCCACATATAGACTAAAGAACTAATATAATGACTTTAGTATAATTTTTGATTGTTTGAAGATAAAAATAAATACATTTGTATAAAATCATCAAATGCTTTACAATTTCTTCTATGGACTGTGAAACAGTGAAGAACAAGATGTGTAAGCATTTTTGTCTTTAGTATATACATATTTTCTTTTATCACTGCTTTTGTCTTTAGGTTAAACATGCCAAAAATATTTTTGCTGTACATGTACCTGCATTTTCCAAAACTGATTATCAAATGTTTATTGTTTGTTTATTTGTAATTAAGCACAAAGCTATCTGTACAGTTCTCACTAAGGGTATCGAAACCTGGTATTTAGATTGAAAGTTTATAATTACCAGTCTATTTAAAATTAAATGTACTTCACCTAGTACAGTTAACACTTACAGCATTGATTCCAGAAAGCTGCTGTGACAACATGACCACCACTGAGATGATGAGTGGAGTACGGAAGACGGGGTTGGTCCACATTTCCTGTAGAGTTACCTAAGAGATATTCCTAAGTTGTAAATTGGATATGACTCCAATGCAAAATGAATATTGATCATATTTTTTGGGATTTACTTTATGGAAAATACATGTTTCAGACGATTGAACTTCAGAAAATGTTTTGAAACATACAGCTACTTTTCTCTTTAATTTTTGTAAAAGCCACAGAATGTTGAAATAGATGAGATATGCTTTAACATATCAATAGCAGAAGTAAGGTAGTTAACATGCATTTCATAAAAGATATGCAGATAAGTGGTAAAATCTTAGTATTTGTTTGAGAAGAGATCAGTTTACAATTTACGAAAAGAAACTAAATACATTACAATATAATTATAATATTGTTACGTCTCTGTTCGTTTGTTAATTTCCGGTATAAATTCTTTCCGAGGAACTTCAGCGATACAAGTCCTTTCTTAAATAAAACTAGTTTATTTTTCTCGATACAACTTTGTAATACACGGAATTTCCACAGTCACTTTAACTTGACTAATTTTATAAACATACGCTATAATTCACAGTGATTCATACACTTTACTTACGGTGCCTACTGTTCGCTTGACTCAATTATCTATCTATCTATGCAATTCTATCCTTTCCGCTGGTTTTATTTGCCGGGATTATATGCTAAAAATGAGGGCGTCTGGAATAACCTAGAGTTGTCAGGAAAATTAATGATCCTTCGAGAAACTCCAGCGCGCATGCTCCCAGCGTTGCGTGACTTCTGCTGTCGTAACACTGCCCTTTCCTTAGTATTGTTCGTCCCGAAAAATAGTCACTTACATTAAACCAATAGATAATTAACAGTAACTTGATTAAATGTACAGAATTTACAAACACAAAATTAAAATACAACAAAGTCTCCTAATTTTACGGGACCTATCTTCTTCCGTACTGGTCTCCGTCTCATTGGCTTCTGCCTCACTTGGGGGTTCATCTGCTCCATCAGGAAATGTCCCATTATCGGTAGCAGTCACATCAGTGGTAGTAAGTTTATTAACGGCTTCACTGGTACAAAGCTGACTTCAGTAGATCTCTTATCATAACATAGCTTCACGGAATTAGCAGACGTTTTCAAGTGTGAACGCACTTGATGGTGAATATCATCCATCCTTTCCGATAACACTTTCACAAAGTC